AGAGAGGTAAATAGGGAGCCTACATCCTGGGAACAAATCTTTACTCCTCACACTTCAGATAGAGCCCTAATATCCAGAGTATACAAAGAACTCAAAAAATTAGACAATAAGAGAACAAACAACCCAATCAACAAATGGGCCAAGGACCTGAACAGACACTTCACAGAGGAGGACATACAGTCAATCAACAAGTACATGAAAAAATGCTCAACATCTCTAGCTGTCAGAGAAATGCAAATCAAAACCACCCTAAGATACCATCTCACTCCAGTAAGATTGGCAGCCATTAGGAAGTCAAACAACAACAAGTGCTGGCGAGGATGTGGGGAAAAGGGTACACTTGTACATTGCTGGTGGGACTGCAGATTGGTGCAGCCAATTTGGAAAGCAGTATGGAGATTTCTTGGAAAGCTGGGAATGGAGCCACCATTTGACCCAGCTATTCCCCTTCTTGGTCTATTCCCTAAAGACCTAAAAAGAGCATGCTACAGGGACACTGCTACATCCATGTTCATAGCAGCACAGTTCACAATAGCAAGACTGTGGAACCAACCTAGATGCCCTTCAATAGACGAATGGATAAAAAAAATGTGGCATTTATACACAATGGAGTATTACTCTGCATTAAAAAATGACAAAATCATAGAATTTACAGGGAAATGGATGGCATTAGAGCAGATTATGCTAAGTGAAGCTAGCCAATCCCTAAAAAACAAATGCCAAATGTCTTCTTTGATATAAGGAAAGTAACTAAGAACAGAGTAGGGACGAAGAACAGGAGAAGAAGATTAACATTTAACAGGGATGAGAGGTGGGAGGGAAAGGGAGGGAGAAGGTAAATTGCACGGTAATGGAAGGAGACCCTCAGGGTTATACAGTGGAGGGGGTAGAGAGAGAGGAGGGGAGGGGAGGGGAGAGGTGGGGAGGGGGGAGGGTGGATGATGGGAAAGGCAGCGGAGCACAACAGACACTAGTATGGCAATTTGTAAATCAATGGATGTGTAACTGATGTGAATCTGCAATCTGTGTATGGGGTGAAGGTGGGAGTTCATAACCCACTAGAATCAAAGTGTGGAATATGATATGTCAAGAAATTTGTAATGTTTTGAACAACCCACAATAAAAAATTAAAAAAAAAAAAAAAAAAAAGGCAAAATGAGTACTTGAATATGCAGGCCTCACAACAGAGTGAGTCAAAGGGTGCCGGGATCCAGACTTGGTGTCAGATTGTAGATAGCTAGGTCGCTTTGCCTAGGAAACCTTGAAAAGCTCTCTTACAAGGGCTGTAAAGTTATAGTTGGATTAAGTCACACAAATCTGCTATGGTGCTTTCTCCCTCCCTTCTTCTCTCTCTTTGCAGTACTGGGAAACTCAGGCCTTCTGCATGCTAGCTAAGCAATCTACCTCTGAGCTACATCCCCATCCCTTATTATGTTTTATTTTGAGACAGGGTCTTGCTAAATTGCCTTAAACTTGTGATTCTTCTGTCTAAGCCTCCAAAGTTCTGGGGTAACAGGTGTGTACCACTGCACTAGGCTGTTAGGGTGCTCCTTAATAGCAGTTCATGTACTAAAGCACACTATCTTGTTGATCATTTGCATGAAAACATTATTAAAGTCACTCTGCCTCTCTCTCCACTTGAGAATTCAGCTTTGAAATGTTGAAGTGATTGTTCATTCAAATATCTAAATTCCTCAGACATTATCCCCTCTTTACACACACACACACACACACACACACACACACACACAGAGGTATTGCAGCATACAAATGCAGTAATTTTGCTTGGCAACTGAGTTTTGGAATACAAATAACACCTTCAGACTGTATGAGCTATTACAAGACTTTTTATTTTAATCTGATGCCTATAAACAGGATTTTTTGGTTCCTTCTGTTTTATTATTCTTTCTGAATTTCAAACTTCCTTTACCAAAGCCCCCAATTATGTGACAATATATTTATAATAAACTGAAGTCTATCAATCAAATGTTTACTTTCATCATAAGGCAAATGGGCAGGAGGGAGTTCTGCAGCTATGTCATCCTTCTTGTGATTTGGAACATTTGTTTCAATATATCCAGGGATGATTGAAGAGCAAAAACTATTTTAAAAATGTAAAATCCTTATACTAATACAAGAACCCATCTAATTTATTCATTGAATTATATCCTTATATAGTGAGATCAAGGCTCTTTAGGGAAAACAAACATTCACATTTGAGCACATATTTTCTTTTCTATTTTTTTAATGAATATGCAGTACATTTTAGTGTAGGGAAATCAGAAGACTTTGGTTTAAAAAGACTACTGACTACCGTTTATTTAAAAATTGTTTCCATAATCAATGAATTCTTCTGATTTTTTGACAGACTTAATTCGTCTAGTTTTAACTGAGAATTTAAATGTGTATTTTTAATTTTAGCTTTGTAGTTAGAAGTTGCTCCATTTGCAAGTGTAATTTCTTCTTGGTGGTATTTATACATAATTTTCAAAGTCATTTGATATATCCATTAACACATCCCTTAAAATATTTACTGATTGCCTACTGTATACCACGTATTATTTTATATGCTGAAGATAGAGGATAGAGGTGAAGAATACAAATATAGAGTTACAAGAATACAAATATAGAGTTCAATTGAAAATCTTTTTAACCCTTTAAAAAGTGGCAAACCAGAATTCTGATTTGTGTGCTTCAAAAACTGTGTGTATACTCTGTTGTAAAAAGTTGGACAACGTACCCATAAATAATAAACAAGATGATTTCAGATGGTAAGTGTTTTGAAGAATACAGAACAGAATGACAAATCAAAAGGCTTTGACAGAGAGAGGTAGGCTATTTTTGAGAGTTGGTCAGCATAAATATCTGTAAGAGTTGTCAGATTTAGCAAATAAAAATACACTGTGCTCAATCAAATTTTAATTTCAGCTAAATAATTAATACTTTTTTAGTGCAAGTATATTGCTTGCAATATTTAGATCACACTCATACACAAAAACTTTTAATATGAAATTCAAGTTTGGCAGGGCATTATGCATTTTATTTGGCAGCTTTAACCAAGCTGAGACCATAGGATGAGATGTGGCTTCCAGGTAAGGACTTTTCCAGACGGAAGGGAAGGCAAGTGTGTATGTATTCACCAGCTGTGATGGTGAAGACTTACCCGTACAGAAATACTGCATTTAAAATAGTTCAATTGGCAACCAGATTAGTAAAGCTATTAGTAACATTTTAATACAATTTCCTACTTTGTCATGTGAAATGGAAGATTGATTACTCAATGCTTTTTTTGTATTTGTAGACTTTTGTCACTGAGTGATAAACCAGTCAGAAGAACAAAGTTGGCTAGAAAAGGACTTCAAACTTGGAAAGTAGTGTCCATTTTAATTGAATACCAACCAGAACTAAGATAAAGCATTCTGAAAGTGATATTATTCAACTGAAATCTTAATTCTAATTACACCAAACTTGTATTTGTTAAAATAAAAATAAAAGAACACACACACACTTTTATTTAGAATGGAGAGGACGTTAAGAGATTTAAAACTTGCTCAAACTAATTTCCAGACCCCACTCCTGGTTTCTCAGATGTGTGTGCTTCTTAGCAACTCATATATTTCCCCATCTTATTACTAGCACATCAGTTGAAGTAAGAATTAGAGCAACACCGTGGTAAGGTAAATCATGATTTTGTGATTTCCAGAATAAGTTCTGGTAACTACTTAAAGTTACTCATAGCCATAGACCAATATTATTTCAAGCTCTTCATCTAAATAAATCACTGTAGGTTGGTTGCTGGAAAATAGATAACCTGAATTATTTTGTGAGAAAGTGTTACTTTATATCTTAGCAACCAAATTTATTGGTGATCAGTTTTTTTTATGCTAGCTAATATGACAGAAGAAAATAGTAATCACTTGTTCAGTCTGATCAAGTCACGGAACATAATTAAAGATAACTTTTACATTAACCTTCTGTGGATATATGCACTGCTACATTAATTGCTAATAACTAGCTAGGAACTAGTTATAGCATGTGCTATAACTACAGTGATTCTGTTAAGTTTCACTACAATCCATTGAGTTATGAGGACTGGGAGGTAATGTAGGCATTTTATCTATTTTAATTGAATGCTACAGAAAAAGAATTTATTTTTAATGTAAGTTCTTTGTCAATATTCTAGTTCAACTAAAAATCTCATCAATGTTGCCACATTTAGGTCCCAGCAGCATCTGTCAGGATAAATTAAGATCATTTTATGATTTCTTGGTGAAGAATTTCATCATGTAGGCTCATCATAGCCTAGGGTACATGACAACAAGGTCAGGGATAATTTACCTTGACCTCTGCTTACATTTTAAATCCTGAAGAATTTACAAATCTGTGGTTCACCAACAACTTCATCATAGAGTGGTTTATCTGATGTGTCATTGCTACCAGATAAACCACTCTATCTTATTGATTTGGTGTTATTTGACTTACATATTACATGAGAATTTGCTTACTTTGATGATCTGTAATAATACACTTAATATTCAGTATAAATTAATGGGTGCTGCCAGGTGTGGTGGTATATACCTATAATCCTAGTGACTATGAGGCTAAGGCAGGAGGATTGCAAGTTTGAGGCTTAAGCAACTTAGTGTGACTATGATTCAAAATGAAAAACATAAAAGGGCTGGGATATAGTTCAGTGGTAAAGCCCCCGGGTTAGATACCGAGTACTAAAAAAAAAAAAAAAAAAAGTGTTGCTTTTCTAGGTCTACTGTAGTCAGAGACATTTGAGAAGTTATTTTGATCAAATAAAATTTCCTTATGAAATTAATCTTCATATTAAGGCCACTAGAATTATCTAAATATTAATGACTGCCAACTTGGGGATAGAGCAATTTTGCTGTGGATCTGACCTTGCCCCATAGGTCCTGCTGATGGGAGAGTTCCATTCTGTTTTAAAGTACCTCCTTGGGCTGGGGATGTGGCTCAAGTGGTAGCGCGCTCACCTGGCATGCGCGTGGCGCTGGGTTCGATCCTCAGCACCACATGCAAATAAAGATGTTGTGTCCGCCGAAAACTAAAAAATAAATATTAAAAAAATTCAATTCTCTCTCTCAGAAAAACAAAACAAAACAAAACCAGAGTACCTCCTTAACATTTTTAGATATTTCCTGCCCTACCCCCCCCAGCCTCTTGCACCCTCTTTTGTGTATCATTTTCCTCCACTTCTCATATGGCTCTTGGAAAAAAGGACTCCCAGTAGTCCAGGGCTTCTAATGTTCGCTGAGACCCATCAGACAGGGCTGTTCAGCTCATTTCTTACCCCATGGAAAAATGCTTTTGAAACTCCCTCCCTACCCTTCTGTCATACTTTGATGCATAAGTTTGAGAGCAGTGCCACTTGATAAATATTTTTAAATGAAACAGTTTCTTCTTTGTAATTCCTAGGTTATTTATATACTTAATTTGATGCTAGGGATTGAATGCCAGTCTTCTTGCATGCTAAGCACATAATTTACCTCATAACAACAGCCCCAGCCCTCAATTCCTAGGTTTTTAGTCTCAGCTCCCTTGAGTAGTAAGGATGGAACTGACTTGCCAGCTGGGAACTTGAAATCATCCATGGTGAGAGTTTTTACAGCATAGAATCACCAAATATTACAAATCAGGACTTTTTTTTTTCCTTAGTCATATGCCAGTGGATCCTTCCCTGCCTCTCTCCCTTTCTCTCCACAAAGATGAAAAAGTAATTGGGCTGACAGCATGAGACCACTTTTCTCATCCTTACTGTACCTTAGACCTTAATCACTTTCCTTAGGATGTGCCTTCCTCCTCATGCTCCCAAGTTCTTTATGAGAACAGAATCCATATGGTTTCCCCAAACCCTATAAAAGTCCCAGCCTCTGTCAACCTCACATGTAGTTTTGGTTATAAGCCTTCCTTTAGATCTGTTCACCTCAGGAAATAGAAACAGGGAGTCTTTTAGGTACCACCACCCTAAACACTTACCTTCCATTTTCCCAGATGTGCCTCAAAAATAGTACAATTTAGGATCTCAACCTGGAAAAAGTATGCCGATGGCACACTTATATTATTAAATGCAATGAACCATTTATTGACCCAATTTCTTTCTCCTCAGCCTCCTCCTATTTTCCATGTTATAGAATCAAATAAGCTGAAGAGATTACCTTTGTACTTTGGTATTAAGGAAGAAATAACTAGAAATATGGTAATATTTTGTGTGTTTGTGTGTAAGAATGATTGATATTATTTAGTCCTTTTGAAATGCTCTGTAGGTTTCATATGGCTTTCAGGTATCAAAGAAGGACTAAACTGTTTTACTTAAGTTAACCTAGGTAAAAACCTTAAAAATTCAATATTCTAATCTTTATGACCTCAGTTTAATGCCTTAATAATATTATATAAGTCTTTTAAATGAATTACTCTTTAAATGAATTAGAATCCAATGTATTATAGTTGTAAGTTTATTATGAAAACTAAGCCAGTATAGCAATGCAATAGGTTACTAAAATGAAGGTCAGTGAAAGGAAACAGCAAACTTCCTGCAGTTTCATCTACTTAAAAAATAGTAAGTTCAACTATTTATATCCACTGTTTAATACAAAGCAATCTCATGCCTCTCTCCAATGGCAGATAGTTAAAATCTGGTCTTTGCCATTACACTTCAACATGTTAACTAATGCAGTGCAGGTAGCATCCATACTTATCTGCTATGCCCATAATGGTCAGCATCTTCCAAAAATAAAAATCAGTGTTATCAACAAACTACTTGGTAAGATTCTATGATTTCTACACAGATTTATTACTGAATAGACTTTCTGTACCGGCCCTGTGCTATGTACCAGGGATCAAGTGATCAATTAGATGGTCGCTGTCCTCAAAGAGGTCTCTAGGAAGATGCAATACATAATCAAACGCAATGCACTGTGTGAGAGGGAGAGTGCAGAGAGGCTGGGAGTCCACAGGAGGGACACTAATCTACTGGGAAACGGGACAAAAAACATTTACCAAAGTCTGTGCAAAGTTGTTCCAGCTATCATTTCACATGGAATCAAAGTTAAGCTGAAAGTTTCCATACTCTGTTAAAAACTAGACACAGGTGAAAGATGCACTATGAGTGTCCACCATTACATATCCCTTCCAATCTATTTCCATGGTCCACAGTGGCAGTGCCATCAGACCTGCTGGGAGCTCCAGCTCTGTTCATTTTTTTTTTTCCCTTTCTGGTGCTGGGGATTGAGCCCAGGGTGTTCTGCCACTCAGTTACATTGCCATAACCAATTTTTTTTTTTTTTTAAATTTTGAGACAGGGTCTTACTTAAATTGACTTGAATTTGAGATCTTCCTGGTTCTGCCTCCAGAGGTGCTAAGGTGACAGTCCTGTGCCACTACACCCTGCCTTGTAATCTTCTAGCTCTGTTCTTAATGCAATTTTTTTTCTTGACTATTGGGTGCTGATGCCAAAGACAATTACTAGTTTGTTTTCTTCTAAAACACTTTTAAGAGGCATATTCTATAGTTCTATTAAGTTATCTATTAGTCTTCTCTTTGTTCAGAATAGTTCCTAACTTGAAAAATACTCTTTGCACACATTTTTCTTCCTTTTAGGATGAAAAGTGAACTTTTTCCTGACCTTAAGACAGATCATATCATCTACATTTAAAAGAAGCCTCTCTCTCAAAATAACTTTTGAGAAACATGTGACTGTCAAAGTACAAGGTCTTACAAACTCTCCACACGTAGCTAAATAATTTTTTTGAGAACATTGTGAAGAAGAATTTGGATTAGGATGTCAATGTCCTTCCTAGTTAATTAGAGTAGAAATATTTAGTAGACTAATGCATTCTTTTTGCAGTGATGCATTTCTGAAAGATGATATTGAAATAGTGCCACTATTCTTTGCTTTTTGATCCTTAATTATTTTGGAATAACAAATTGTTTATGTATACAGGCCATGTATATTTTCTTACTATACATTATTTTAAGCATTAATTATCCTCTAGTTATTTACTTAGTTTTATTCCTTGTAGGACTAATTTCTTCCTAACAAAATAATGAGTGTTAATCCAGATCATCTTAGAAATGACCTACAACTCATTGAAAATTTTTTGAGCAGATTTAGTGTTTCATGTAGAACTAATCTGGAAGTCTTCATAATGAACTAATTAATCATTCTTTTTGTATATGTAAAGATGTGTCAAACTGGTAACCCCAGAGACCTTGTCTTTGAAACAAGGCCTTATTTTTATTATTATCAAACCTAAACTTTGAAGAACCCAAAAGATAATCCAGAAAAATTCATTATCTGCAGTATATTCTAGATTCTTATAGGAATTATGGGTAGATATAAATGCAGGCACTTAACAAATGCCTTCCTCCTCAGAGGATAACACAGAGAAAACTACCTGCAAGGTACCCTAACAATTCCTCAAGCTTTAAAGGATTATTGTATTGTTTTATTTTGTTTTGCTAGCAGTTTATTGTCTTTCTTAAGATTTCCAAGGAAATGACTTTTTTTTTCAGTACTGGGGATTGACCCCAGGGCCTCACACATAGAAAATGACTTTTAATTAGAGGTGGATAAAAATATTTAAATTAATTATGAAGAGAACTAGATGGAAGAAATCATGAAACACTAAGATGTGTTTCTGAGAGTGACTGCAGACTCAACTACTTGGACTTTGAAAGGAGAATCTATATGCCTTTAATAATGATATTAATAATGGCTGATTTAGGGGTAGTCCTTTAAGAGAAAAAGTAACACAAGTAATTGCTCAGGGTTTCTTCAATTTTAAAATTCTATGACAAATAAACTTATTTTTCTTAAAGTTATTCACAACACAGTGCAAGGACTAGGATTTTCAATTTACTTACAGACTTAAAAAAATCTGTTTGGTTCCTTCTAAACAATAGTTAGTGAGACTAAGCAAGACAGGTATCTGGAAGTATTTCAAGTTCAGGGTCAGGCCATGTATATGTTGGTTTCTGAGCCTCCAGTTGGTATGTGAACTTCGGTAAAACCATAAATGTTGCCAAATGGAGAAAGTGCTGTGACCCAATTTCTCTGTACACATGTACCATTTACTTTACAACCTCGAAGCCAGATAATAGAGAGTGCTTCATCTTGTTTTCTGGGCTGGCAGTATTTGCCATGCAGGTGGAATACATGCAGGAGGACTCTCAGACTGTGCTAAATCACAGCACTCTGAAAAACCCAGGGCCTTGCAAAAGGCCATATCTCAAAAAAGTTACTGCTTCAAATAAATGTGCCATTTTAGAAAATTACACCTACTGTAACAGAAAAAAAATGTTCTTTCATGTGAGTGACATTTATATGATGGCCATTTATAGAGAATAGGACATTCTCACATAGCAAGGCTATGAAGAATGGTTTTGAAAGCAGAGTATTCTCTGAATGATAAATGTGGTAGAACTTTAAGATGCTCCTGTGGGATGAGACTCTTCCCTCCACAGCTGGGTGGTTTCCTTAAAAAACTAAACCTGTGTTATTTTGAAAAAAAAAAATTACTTAGATGTACTTATATCATTGGCTAAATTTCTATCATATTTCAAACCTACAGCATCTTAAGTCACATGGCTTTTCACCTTGTTAGAGTTGGACTTTGTGGATCACTGAGGCCAACAGCCTTTCATTTTACACCTGCAGAAACTGAGGCTGGGATATTGAGTTTCTAGTTAGAACTAGGAATAGAATTCTCTTACCCCACCTGCATATTCCATACAACTCATTTTCCATTACACTAGTTATCTCTTAAAGAAAGTGCTCAGACTATGTGAAGAGAAAGGATGCAGAATTGGAGAAAATTTTTGCCAGCTACTTTTCAGATAAAGGACTAATATACAGAATATATAGAGAACTCAAGAAACTATCAAAAATACAAAAAAAAAAAAAAAAAACCACCCCCAAACCAGGTAACCCAATCAAAAAATGGGCAAATGAACTAAATAGACACTCCTTAAAAGGAGAAATGCAAATCTGTGGAAAAAATGTTAAAAAATTTTAGCGATTAGGGAAATGAAAATCAACTACAGATTTCATCTCATTCCAGTTAGAATGGCAGCCATCAAGAGTACAAATAATAAATGCTAGAGAGGATATAGGAAAAGGAACACTTTTACATTATTGGTGGGATTGTAAATCAGTACAACTGCTATGGAAATCAGTATGAAGTTTCCTCAAAAGACTAGGAGTGGAACCATCATATGACCCAGTTATACCACTCTTCCATATCTCTTCTAAAGAATTAAAGTAAGTTGTACTATAGCAACACCTGCATACCCATGTTTATAGCAGTACAATTCACAATAAATAAAATATTAAGCCAGCCTAGGTGTCTGTTAATGGATGGATAAAGAAAATATATTTATATTTGAATATATATTTGAGTTTTATTCAGTCATAAAGAAGAATGAAATTATATGTCATTTTCAGGAAAGTGGATGGAACTGGAGAAAATCATGCTAAGTGAAATAAGCCAAAGTCAGAAAGCTAAGGGTCATACATTTTCTCTCATATGTGAAGCTAGAGAGAAAAAAGTAGGTGGGGGCAAAGGTGGGGTTTCTCATGATAATAAAGGGAGACCAGTAGACTAGAGAAAGTGGGGGGGGATAGTGTGGAAGAAATTGACCAAATTATATGGTTATATTGTGTGCATGTACAAATATGTAACAACAAATCCCACTATTACATTGAATTATAATAGACGAATAAAGAATAAAGTACATATTTATATGGGGGGAAAAAAGAAAAACGTGCTCGAATTGCACTGCAGACGGTGGGGGAACTACCTTTCACTTGTCTCTGGACAGAGAACCAAGGTTTTATTGTCTTTTCACACGTAAAATACAATAATAAACAATAATACTCTTAAAAAAATTGCTAAACTGCTTAAGGAAGTTTAAGTCACGATCAAGGATGCAAAAGGGTGTTAAACTCAGGACAAATTTTCAGCTCATGGTCAAGATGTGACCTTAGATCTGAGTTCTGATTGCCAACCCACATTCTTCAAGAGTCCCTTCTGATGGGTGACAAAGATGTGCACCAATCCGGACGTACGAAGTAGAAACGAAGCCAATACATCTGTCTTCCTCTTTCGGATTTGTCTGCACGCTGGGTGATAAGCGATAAAACTCGAGGAAGTTAGAAGTTGGTTGAACCGATAGCGTGGCGACTTTGGGTGACTTTTCCCCGAGAGGGATGAGGGGCGAGCTGGGGAGTTTGAATACACCTTAGTGCGCGCAGGCTGGGGAGTGGGGATCTGGAAGCAGTAGTTCAGGTGGGAGGAGGCAGATAAGGCTGTGTAAGAAAGGTACACGACAAAAGCCGGAAAGGTGACCCACCCACCTGCGGGATGAGCGCCTCCCGGTGCTGGGGTCCAGCGGAGCTGCAGCGGTGCGCGCCACGGGTCTGGCCCAGAGAGAGAAGCTTTGCGGGACGTCCCCTCCAGCTCACTCCTGCAGCTCGCTGCTCTCCGCGGTTTAAGAAGCCAGAGAGGAGGGAGGGCCTTCTAGATTTCGCAAGAAAAGCGTGAAGAAAAGTTTCCGGGAAGAGTTTAAGCTGGAAATCCCGGGAAGCTGGAAGGACCAGAACTTCCTGTGTTGTTGTTGCTGCAGATGTCCCCGCTTACATCTGGCTAGCGGGGGATTTTAAGGGTTTTTCCCTGAGCTCTTGGGATCTTTGAATCCCAGGCTGATTGAGCTTAGGAAGGCAGAGGAGCACACCTTTCATGAAGGAGCCAGAGAGGTCTCTCTGAGATGCTGAGAAAACACCACCTGAGCTAGGCTCCTAGGCATTTCTCCTGCTGCAGTCTTGTCTCAGTTCAGAGTAAAAGGTGACATTGTTCTCTGCTTGGATACCGTGGGTTTTTATTGGGATCATAGTTTGGATGCTCTTGTTTTGAGGTATTTATTGGGCAGATAAATCTTTTGAAGGAAGCAAAACAATGAAAGAGGGATCAGAAGTCCTTCTATTAGTGAGGGATTGGTTCCAGGACTTCCCATGGGTATAAAAACCTAGGAATGCTCAAGTCCCTATAACCTATTCACATTTGCCCATATATTTAAAATCATCTCTGGATTATACTACCTAATACAATTGTAAATGCAGTGTAAATAGGTGTTATATGGCATTGTTTGAGGCCCAGTAAGAAGAAAAAAATACCTATGTTCAGTACAGATGAAAAAAAAATTTCGAAATTATTTTTGATATGCAGTTATTTGAATCAAAAAATGTGGAACCTTGGATATGGAGGCCAACTGTGAATGCAATTGGGATTGATGTGTCTTTTTACAAAGGAGGAGTTCAAAAACTGTACCCATGATAGTTTAAGGTTTAAATAATCATGATACCATATGTGGCAAAGCACTCCTGTACCCCCAAACTCTGTGGTTTAAGACACAGAGTCCTCCCAGTTTGTCTCTCACCTGGCCATCTGGCCTCAAAATACATGCCTCCTTGCCAAGGTCCAGAGGCCCAGTCACATGGGAGGCATGTTCCCAGAGCTGCTGAGTCCACCTCACCTCCCCTTTGCTTGGATTGTAATTCTCCTTGGAATTAGCGCAGTCCCAGTGTTTTCCAGGAAGTCTTCTCTGAGACATAGTTGTAACTAAATCTTTTCCTTTTCTATACAATGTCAGTACAGTATTGTTTATGCCTTTTTTTTCTTTTTGGTGGTACTGGAGATCAAACTCCAGGCCACATAAATGCTAGGCAAGCACTATACCACTGGGCTATATTCCCAGCTCATATTTATACTTTTCACACAGCAATTAGGACAGTTTTCCTTTCAAGAGAGTTATTATTGTGCTCCTCTTCTGGAGCACCAACTCTGAGGGTTGATGCCCTATCCTTTTCAGCCTGGAATTGTCCACCACATGTAGCACAGCCCTTTGCATGTAAGTATTTATTGCACTCAATAATTTAAAGAGTCTACTGCAAATTATCATCTTTTGCAAAGAGTTCATCTGATAGTATCCTTAGGCCAGGGAAGAATTTAAAAAGGTATTCATATATTTATAGAATCTAATTTTTCCAGTTTGTAGACAGATAGGTCAAAGAAGTGTGTGTGCCTAAGAGGCCAATGCTTGGCCAATTTGATATCTGGTGAAAGACAGATTGGGAGAACTCTGGGTTTTACACTGCAGAGTTTTGGGAGTGTGGAAGTGTTTTGCTTTGTAGAAGTGCCCTGGTCTAACATCTGTCTTTAAGCTTTGTGGGGACAGAAATTTGATTCTCAACATACTGACTCCAACATTTATAACCAGAATGTGGATTTGTTAATTGCCAAAGGAATAGAAAACAAATGGTCACTGTGAAAGGACAGTTGCTGAGGGCACCAAACTTTCTGGCTACCATCTCTCCTTGCAGGCCCTTCCAGTGGAAGGCATTTTATATGGAGAGAGCTGCTCAATAAATAGGGAAGTGAGTTATAAGATTCTAAGGTTTACTGTCATCCGGTTAAGAGAGGCAGCTATATCTGTGGTGACATAGCTTAGAATAACAAATAAAAGTGAATTGTCTTTATTAGTACTAAACTTAAGAGGCACTTGACTTATTTATCTTGTGGTTTAAAGATTGATTTTCCCCTTAGTTCTAAGAGGGACCTACAATTTATAAGTCTTCTAGTTTCTCCTTAAACTCTTACTGTAGCAGAAAATTAAGACTATTCTTTTTTTTTTAGGGATTCCTGTCTGTTTGGCCTCGGGTCTTGGTCATTTCTCTCTCTTTTTCCAGGCCTTTCCCTTACAGTGGAAAAGGTGGGGCTTTTAACTAGGACTGACCCTGGAAGGGGCTGACTTGGTAGTCTATTAATAACATGTATATGTGAAACTCTTGTCAACTAATTTCTTATTAGTGAAGATTTGCACTTGAACTGTCTGCCTCCAGATGCAGACAGCTGGAGTCTATGGAGCAAGCCACTTTGGTTTCTAGGTAATACTTGGATCTATTATGGGTTGACATAATGGACAACCATATTCCCAACTGTAGCCTCCAACTAATAATAGAATCCTTGCTTTATATATTGATCATTATTAAGTGGATGAAAAATTTGAATCTTGGTTGTTATGAGAGGCAGATATATTTCAGTTATGTAAGCTGTTTCTTTGCTAAAGGCAACCAGAGACCCAGAAAAGGATGGATGATTGAATTACTGGGATATGAGGGATGGAAAAAATTGTGTTTATTAGTGCTAAATGTAGGAGGCACTTGGCTTACTTATCTTGTGGTTTAAAGACTGATTTTTACCCTTAGGCCTAGGAGGGACAACACACAATTCATAACTCTTCAAGTTTTTCCTTAAAGCCTTGCTGTAGGGGAAAATTAAGCTTCCAAAGATGCCAGTAACCTGAATACCTAAGGATTTGTTGTTGGCAGGATTCATCCTTCTTTCTGTAGCACTATCATCAGAACTCCAGATAAACCTTCCCAGATGTTGCACACCAGGAAAGAATTCCACACTGTTATGGGATTCAGCTTTTAAAAGGTGTTTGGCCTGGAGGCAATAGTCTGTTTTTGGTATTCTATCATTAACATGTGTAGTGGAAACTCTTGTTGACTTAAAGATTGGTCCTCTTCTGTTTCCCTGTTAGGGAAAATTAAAAAGAAGAAGGAGAAGGAGGAGGAGAAAAAGGAGGAGGAGGAGGAGGAGGAGGAGAGAAAAATGAAATTAGAAATTAAGGTATTTCTGGACATGTCTTGCCTAAGCCAAAGAAATGAATCTCTGCTGGTAAGAAGTGCAGGCCCTCTGGGAAATAATTTTGAATGTGGGTGTAATATATATTTTGTTTTTTGCTTGCTTAGCATCTATGGCTCTTTCTAGAGGAAGGTGAGGGAAGAGATGCTCACTCTCAAAACCCACCCTGTTTGAACCTGATAAATGAGTGTCGTCTTAATCTTTGGCCCTGTGGTACCTCTTTGGCTTCTGTAGTCCTGGCCCTGAAGCATCCATTTCTCTTTCTGCTAATGATATTCTCATTTTCCTTTGACAAACACCTTGCACAATCTTCCTCTTTGTGGTCCAGGTTGAACTGATATTACTACTAAGGATTCTAGCAGCAGGTACCTGACTTAGACTTGTCCAATCAAAGCACAGAGCCTTGTCTACAGCAATTGGCTCAGTGATGGCACATGATCTACAGGGGCCAATAAGGGTCTTTCCTGGGACAACCTGGGAAATTGCACATTCTTTGCTGAACTGCTAGAATATGAATCTGGTCACTGTGCAGAGAAAGTGAGCCTGAGAGAGACGCAACTTGAGGAAATGAGAGCAGAGTTGGGAAGAAACAGATTTCTGAAATTGTTGGAGCTCCATTCCCAAAGAGGGCTCTACAGCCTAGGCTCCTTAGTTTCTGTGATTGGGTTTCTATTAGTATAATAATAATTATTATTATAATCCTGAATAGTAAAATGGAAATATGTAGGAGAAGAATGAAACCTGTTCAGTCATGCTTCTCTGATCAAACTGCTACTGGAGTAGCTTCTTCACAGTAAGCAATCAGAATGAGGATGACACTCATTGTTTAAAAACAACAACAACAACAAAACGGAGAAAGAAAACCCTTTCTGAGATTTCTGGTAGTAGTAGATTTGGGATTTGAGAAAACAGTTGGTTTCTGAAGCTGAAAATTCTCAGCTACTTCTTAGTACATTTGAAATTTAATTTCCTGTCTCAACAAACTTCTGTTTTTCTTTTTGCTTCATGCCTGCTCATGGAGAAATAGGCAAATAGAATCCCTTTCCCTTCTTCCCTTATTCTCTGGAACTGCAAAGGGTGTAAGGAAGAATCCAGGCCATTTACCCAGTTCTTACCAATGTTTGGGATTCTTGCCAACACAGACCAGGAAGCAAAACCAAACCACATTTGCCACCTATCTGAACCCTCCCCACCAAAAAACAACACTGATGGGAAAACATGCCAGACACTGACAATATTATAAACCGGGCTAGGTGGTAATGTCAGGAATAACAACAAAGAATTTAAAAATAAGTCATGCCCTAAAAAGAACCTCACTATGGCTCAAGAGAGTGTTAAAGTACAAAAATTGAGAGTATAAGATGAGTGAATATATAATATCATACCTTTAAAATAGAATAACACTTTAAATAGTCACTGACAAACCTAAAGTGAGGGGTAGCTGTAGCTACTTCTTGGAACTGAAGATGGGCAGGCAGGGAATCTTAGTTCTCTTTACATGGGTCTTGACTCCCTGGGTCACTAAGTTTTTGTTAATTTTTAAGGCTTCTTGGCACTGGCAGGGCCAGGATTGACCATCTCCAATAGAAATCTGGAGGTTGCCCAAGTCATAAAAACTGACCTCAGACGACATTACTTAGTTATAATATTATCAAAGAACAAGATGTTCAAAATAGTTTGAAGAGGTAAAAAAAAAAGTTTAATATTTTAAAATGCAACTAGTATTAATAGAGATTTTTCTTTTGTAACTAAAAAATTGAAGACAGGCTGTTCCAGTTGTACCCCAACCTTCTGGTACATG